TTTAAACACATATTCACAAAATATTTATGATAAATTTTAGATTAGACTTTCAAACACATATTTTTTTACAAGTACAAACTTCTCTTTGAATATGAAATGTTGTAGATCTGCTTCAGATTTGGGAGTAAATGAGTTAGCTACTAAGAGTTTTTGGACATTTGAGTTTCCATGACAAAACACACATATAATAAATAATCTGTTACATTTGCAAGGACCTTTGAAATCCTTTCTTATCTCTGGCTATTTAATGGGAGACATCACTGAATCCAGGTTAAATTTGACATTCCTTAAAGATAAATCATTTGGGATTGAGAAGGAATAATAATAATGCCTTAAGAAATGTGTATTGTGCTGATACACATCCACACAAAGGCGTTGCATTGTATGCTGTTTGCTGAGTTTTGTCCACCTGAGAAAATAGGTTAATATAAATAATTGTTGTGTTAAAATTTCAGGCACACATAGCTGTGGGTTTTAAGCTGTCTATAGTAATTTTATGTTCTCAATGAATAATGTTTAACATTTGAACCAAAAACAGTTCGGCGGGAATAATTAAAGGCTTAAGTTAAATACATAGACAGTCATTTAAATTTAGATCTGCAATAACATTTACTATTATTCTCCAAGGCCTTGACTGCTTGACAGAAACAAAGTACTCTGGGATTAATTTCAAGAAATGGTGCCAACTGTGCTGCAATTTGCTGTAATTAAGACATGAAAGAACACTAAATATTCAGATTAAAAGAAGCATGATGGAGCATGATAGAGAGTTAAGGTGTGGCAGGGAGCCAATAAAAAAAAAGTCAGGAGTACCATATCGATGGATATAAAAACAGAACCAACGGAGTCGAGTGAAATTTCCATTGCAGGTTCACATTTGTTTATCATTTCAGTCTTTGATTATATTCCATATATTTCTCACTCAGATTCATGGTAAAGCTATCATGTGCTGGAGAGATAATAAAGCTGAAAAAGAAAATGGCAAACAAAGTATTCTCATAAAGCTAATGAGTTTAAGTGGTGTGGAGAACTCATTAGGAGGGCGTCATAATTATCTTTATGGTGGAGGAATTTCCTCATGTGTCACATTAATGTAGTTTCTTTGGAGCTAAATGAAAGAGCTACATGGGTGTTAACTCAAAGAGATTAAATACACCTTTTGTATTCATTAAATTCTTTTTATATTTTAAAGAGAAAGGATTCATTTTGATCCAACTAGTCCCCCTTTTATTCTCCAAGAATCATGGGAAATATTTTATTTGCCTTTGAACTTTTATGTATTGATTAATACTGTATTGGAGCTAATGGTGAATCCTTCTTCCTACTGACTTTTTTTTTAAGAGAGAGAGACACTTAGGTTTTGATCTTAGAAGAGGTGTGGATACTTGACCCAGTTGCTAATGAGGGGCTATAATCCCCAGTATCCTATACCTCAAAATAGCAGGATGCAGTACAAAAAGTACACTATAAAAGACACTAGTGGAATTCTCTTTGTCTTCACAGGCAGTATGCAAAGGATGTGACTTGCAATGAAAGTCAGTCACTGGACTCCTACAGGCACACAGAGCCGTCAAAGTCAAGGGCTGAAGAGAAACAGCTCACCAGTGTGGCAGGAGACTGAAAGCAAGAACCTAATGTGTCCAGGAAGGATAACATCTGGAAAGAGAGCCTGTTAGAAGAGGACTGCAAGATCTTCATGGAGAAGGACTCTGGACCAGAATAAGTGTTGTTAGCTAAGCCCATGTGTGAATGGGTTCTAGCCCGACTAAAGGGAATTTCACATTTGGGATATATGATTAGGAGCTTGAAATAGGAAATATGAATCTTTTCAGGCAGTAAGGCAGATGCTGCAAAGAGTCAGCATCTTTGGGGAAAACCATAAAAACAAAACTGAGTTGTTTCCAGGCACTGAAATCTTTAGAGAAAATGTGTTTAATGTCTCATTGATACAGAATTCATCTCAATTCTTCCCTGGATGCTTCAAATCTTCATTTAGACAAAAAAGTTGTTCATGGGACAGTACTGTTTACAAATTCAAATCAGTAAATAGTCTATAATTTCCCCATTTAAGTGAAAGTAATAGAATGGTTAAGAAACATCAGCATAATTTAAAATATTGATCTGTACAATTTATGCTATCGAAAAAATTTCATAATATTGATATTGTCTGTAATCTATGGCACATCTATATTTCTTGATGAGGTTTCACTATATAAATAGTTGTGAACATTATTATTGCTATTATTATTATTATTACGGTGGAGCTATTGTTTGATTTAACGTGGTATATCACATTTTTGAGCTAAAATATTAATATAATTATGAGAGTACAATAGGCCTTTGTCAATCCCTTAATTTTTCGTTTCTCTGTTCACAATGTTGCCAGATACATGCTTCTTGATAAAACCCCCTAGAGGTCTCCTGCAAATTCTTTTTCAATACAACCAGATCATTGCAGATAATTGTATTACACAGTGTATCGATCCAAAATCGTTGTGCACCGGAAACATCTGAAAAAAACATGATTATAGCTTTCTGTTTATTGTTCGTACATCATATAAGCAGGCTTTTGTGTGAATCACCTGTAAGAAAGGCAAGGTGGAAACATCAGAGAAATTACCTCTTTACAAGAATCTATTGATCACTTTAAATCAAAGAAGTATGTTTGACATAAGATTACCTGCCAGTTTGAACATTAGGTACACTATGTTATAGCCTGGGGCAGTTGTAAGTCTGACAAAGGGATTGTAAATAAAGCATGCAGCTGTGAGTGCCTCTGGCTGGGGATCAACTCAGACTCAAATCCAAGGCATAGGTAAACTTAAAATAATTTACCCCTTTTTAACCAGCACATAAAGACTTAAGAGTAGACTCTTAGGAGAACTCGTACACATAAATCTCTTTGTTACTTTGAAATAGCAAACTTTGTAGGAAAAGTCATATCATACATAGTTGAGAAAACACAGTTTATTTTTTGTTTGTTTTTTTGCTATTTTCCAAGTTGTCCTTTGTAACCTCAAGTCAGTCTATAGGTTCACAGAATGTCTTCAAACACCCGGCCCCCTAAAATAGTTTGTACCCATAGTCACTTATTTATACCAGGCATGATATATCCAGACCCTTGTAACTTCAACCCCCTCTGCATCCTGTCTGCAAATGCTTGTCAACAGTTCACTTAAGAAGCTGTGGTCTCGTTTTCTTTTTTAATTGAAAGTCAGATTCTAGAAAGGTGAAATATATAAAAACCAGCTATTGCATTTAAACTGTTTATGCTACTGTGTGGACAATGTCAGGATCATACCACCACGAAAATACTGATTGCTTCTTTCAGCTGTATTTTCTTATTGGTCAAGAGCAGAGGAGGTATTGGTGACAAGCTCTGTTTTAAGCTTGAAGGATCTATTTTTGTTGTTTTAATTTTGAGAAAGTGCATATTACAAGATCTTTGTTGGATTTTTCCCTCCTGCATTTTAACATGTGCTGAAATTATTAAACATTTAACTCATTTGTCCAAGAGAGATACTGATGTATTTGGAATTTAATAAAGATGAGCTCTGGGTGATGCATTCTTCCTTGTTAAATATTTAGCTGTTTGCATTAGCTCTGTGGTTTCCTTAGGCACAAATTTAAACTGTTAATATATAGCAGGTTTAAGCTATAAAAATGTTAGGAGCTGTAATTTCTTCTGGGGCAAAACTGGCCATTTTGCACACTTGCAAGAAAATAATGCAAACATGCATGTACATATCTAGTGAAATATAAGCTCTCTGTAGCTCAGTCTATAAATGAGAAACTGACAGCCACATATTTTTAGAACTACATTTCCAGAGCCATCATTTAACTTCAAAGATGAGTGATAAATGCAGAATATTTATCTATAGTAGCTTTTTTATGGGGTTGTCTGTAAAAGATACCTCTGATGTGAGACTATAATATCTTTGTTCACAACTTTATTGTTGTTTAGGATAAATACCATTCTTTAAACATGAACACAATATGAAAATCACTAAGGGGAAGATACTCCTTTTATAAAAAAATATGCTAGCATTTGCTGCTTTTTATGTTGATTTGTAGATCTTAAAAATTAGTTCCTGTCCTTTTCATTTGTGGTTACAAGACTGAAACTATTGATTTTCATAAAATATCATGTGTTCAATGAGAGGCATTAGATATAAAATTTAATTCAATGTGGTTCCAGAAATGTATCATATAACATAATGAATAAGTATATTCTTAAATATATAATATTAAAAAGTCCATAATTCCTGGTATCATTTACATTTGATAGTATAAAGTTGAGGAAATAAAAATACAATCAGATAAACACTTTTATAAAGGGGAAATATTTGAACAAAATGTACAGATATTTATCTCTGGGAACACGGTCAACAAAGAACAAAGGAAAAATGTCTTTGTCTTAAATCACTTATTTTTTGAGAGCTTGAAGCCTGCTGCCTGTTTGCTTGGTTCAATGAAAGGGCGCCATCTATTGGATGACCTTGAAAAGTACGTATATTTCATAAACACTGAAAATAAGTCAGTAGTAAAAAAGGTCATTTTTGACATAATGTATATGTATTAGCCTTTGTCTGTGTGGATATATTTATGCTTCAAACCTTTGCTAACAAAAGAATAAGATTTCTGCATATCAATAATATTTTCCTATAATACATAGTAACAGAAGTAAAACTCTTGTTAATTTGTTTTCTGATTAAGCCATGAAGCTTTATAAATTAAATAATTTATGACTCTGAGATTCAGGCATTCACCTTTAATTCTCAATATATACCTTTGTTTCCTTAAGTACTTTAAGCAACAGTGTGGAAACTGTAAGAGCTTAAATTTTGACAAGGATTGTTTAAGTCTCTCTCAACGTTATATGGCATTAAATTTAAAGGTTAAAAAAGTAAAAACAAAACACATTAGATGTCTTGTGTCTGTGTGTGTGTTTTCAAGCAGTGTTCTTGTTTTATCTTTCAGCGCAAGAACTTGCCAGTCAAGATGAAAAACTTCTTCTAATGGAATCCAGCTTGAAAACTGCTCAAGAGCGGCTGAGCGAACAGCAAGAGTTCGCCAAGAACACAACAGTTGAAAAGCCCAGGCCGAGCCGAAGACAGTGACAGAGGGAATTATGGCTTCTGAAGAAGAATCAAATGACAGCAAGTGAGTTGTTTTTCAGTATTTCACAAAGTTTGACTTTCCATACTGAAATCAAGTCAAGCCTTTAACTTTCATTGTTAAATACTTAATTTTACTGTATCTTGCAAAAGGCTTTCAGTATATTTACTGGCTTATACAATACAGTGTGGGTATACAGAGCAGAAAAACATAAGATTTGCCTTGTTTCTTAACTGCGCTAGCACATGATGAAAGCTGGAAACCCCCCACTCCCGTTTCTGATCTATGGTGTGGCAGTCACCTTTCTCGTTAACGTTCACAGATACGGTCAAGGTGGAAGCGTGGAGAGATGTGCTGTGTCTCTGCAGCACCTACCTGCCAGGGGCCTTCTCATCTTACAGACTTTAGAGTCCAAAGGTTACATATGGCTCTGGTTGCCTTTCTTTTTTGTTAAAGTAGCGGCTCTGAACAAATGGCGACTAAATCGAGGGACATTTAGAGCAGAATTTGGGCACAGACCATTGAAGCATAGAAAGGGCTATGAAGAAAACTTCTGGGCCAGCTTTGAGACCGTAAAGAAAACTGTTCTTAGTGAAACCTTCTGAATACTAACTCTTGTTCTGATCATTCAAACGCTTATTTAATAAGCATATCTAATAATTAGGCTATGGAAGTTCTGATTTTATCATTTACCTGTCAAATAAGTGTTACAGAACCTTTTGAGAGATTTCCTCATTTTGTGCTTTTTCCTCTGCCTTTTCCTTAATTATATTTAGCTTGTTATTTAAAAAACAATAATGAAAATGTCATAACCTACGTAAATTCTCCCTTTCTCACTCCCTGCCTATCCCTCTGTTTCTCTTTATCAAGTATTACAGTTTAATAACTGAAGCTTGATTATATTGAATAATCGAAGTTTGATAGAAAACACATATATAAACTATTTTTTCTTTCCTAATTCATCTTGGAACACAGTCCTGAGGCCAAAACTGAAATGTGTGTTTGATATTAACTGATCCTTGGAAGCCAACTCATAAATTCACAAAATGTACTGCATATCCTTATATACCATTTTCAACTTATAAATCTGACTTACATTGTTAAAATGAAATTATAACATAATGAGTTTATTTTTGGTTTTTCAATTCAAAGGTTCAGTACTTTTAAAAAATAAAATACAAAGAAGTATTCTACAATGTAGATAAACATTTTCCTCCCTCTAAATAAGACACTCTAATAAATCCTGTTCCCATTAATGCATCAGATGTCAACATTTACACAGCAAAAAAGCTATGTTTAATAAATGGTAAAAAGCAGAAATTGGTGCTAAGGAGAAGAAGTGTATTAGGCAATGTTTCTTTGCAAATGATAAAGTCATAGACTATTGTTATAAATATTAGGATTCTTTAAGAGACACATTATATTAAGGAAAATGATATTTTGATATATTTAGAAAATAAAATGTAATAGAGGCTGACAGAGATGTGTATATGTGCTGAGCATTAGGAAAATGGTGCTTATTAGTTCAAACAAGTAGAGATCATGTAAGAAACACTCAAACAAAATAGCCCAACAACAAATCAAAAAGCCTGGCTGTAAAGATCCACTTACAGTCCTAGATTCCACAGGAAAAGGGATAGAAAGTGATTTATCTGGTGAAAACGCTGTGACTGAGCCAGGTAAAGTTCTGTTTTCTCAGTCTGTGCACAGTTCTCTGTTTAATTTTACAGGTCAGCTTACGTGAAGTTAACTAAAGTATTCTTTCTTCACATGAAATTCTTATTTTGTGTACAATTATTAGATAAGAAATGCAGAATAGAGCTTATTTTAAAACACTGTATTAATGAAAAACTAAATATTTTCAGTCAAATTATACCATGTTACAAGGAAAAATTTTAATATGTAACCAAAGACTGATTTGATATCCTCAATTTGATATTTTCATAAAGAAAGTAAGCTCGCCTTTCTTCTGTGATTTTTATTTTACTCTATGCACTTTTATTTAGAGACAGATCTTGTAGCTCAGATTGGCCTTTGAATTTGTGTTTCTCCTCTTTCGGTTTCCGCAGTGCTGGGACTCCAGGTGTGCTTCATCATACCTGGCTCCTTTTTCTTACACAAACAAACAAACAAAAAGAAACAAACAAAAGAGCTATACTTCACATTGCAAAGTACGTCTTCATGCTCAAGGAAGCGTCGACATGTAAACAAGCATGCCCCTGATTTTCATACCAAACTAAACACAGCCCTTGGTGGCTAGGCCGTCAAGCATTAGGTTTCTCATTTGTTTGTACCAATGCTATCTTCAGGTGGTAGGAGCTGAGGGAATTCACCAGCATTTTGGCATGAGTGGCTCCTGGCATTGTGGGGCTCACCTGTCAGTAGAAACATAAGACTTAGGCATTCAAACATGTTAATGAGTTCATTTAACATAGCATTCCTTTTCTGAAAAATTCTGGATCTTTACCGGGTAATTCAGGTAAAATAAAGATAAAAGAAAAGTTAGCTTTCAGGTAAAATAAAGATAAAAGAAAAGTTAGCTAAATGTTTGAGCCATTTCTAGAATGGAAACCAGACCAGAGTTCAGAGAATCCCAAATGAAAGCAACACTTGGGAATATTTTTCTTCAAGTATAATGTAATCATTTCTAAATTGATGGATTTGTTATCATTTATAAAAGAAGGAACAAAACACAAAACCTTGATTTTAAGTGTTTTTAACAAGTCATAAATACAATAACAAGAATTTGTGTTTTAAAGCACACACAATGTCAAGATTTCATCTTTATCTTCTTAATACTCATCTTGTATCTGGGAGGGTTTTGACATCTATCTCTACCTTATCTGGCTTAGTCGTTCAGAAATAGTCAAGCCGCCATACCACCAAAATTCATACTAGGTTAGCTAATGCATTTCAAAATGTAAAATAAACTGAAAAAAAAGATGCATACAAAACTTTGGTAATTTAAAGGAAAACTTTTAACATATTAAAATATGACTCATATTTTGTTGGTATAAAATTGAATTCATGAGGACCCTAGGGTTCCCTTTCTCTACTTCTTCTTTTGAAGTAAATATAGAGAACACACACCATGCAGTTGGTATAAGCCTGTTACACTTGAAAGATTTGTTCTGAATGTCCAGTGGGAACCTGGAAATCGTAATAATTTGTAGTATCGATTGAGTGAAGCTATGCAGCTGGGGCCTCCGGTGAATAGACAGAAATAGACATTTTATTGATTAACTTTTACAGTCATATTTCCAAGACTCCTCTGCAACATAATTTTCACTTCCCAGCTTTGTGTTGTTGTATCATGAAACTTGGATTCCTCTCCCTTAGCATTTACCCACGTGAGGAAAAAAGTATGGGTATGAACTGCTGGGGCTGTGTTCTGCTGAAATGCACAACTTTCTGAAAATGATTTCTCCCAAGTACTCCTCTTCCACGCACAATATAAGGAAGCTGCTAGAACAGTTTTTTTTTTTTTTTGGAAATGTCACGATAGCAGATGGTTGGTAATTAAACTTCTTCATATTTTGCTCACTCTTCTCGTACTTAAGAATTCTAATCTACCTAACTTAAAATTGTGCATGTAGTTGTCAAAGTTAATTGTCTGCTGTTAGCTTTGTTTGTATTCATGTGTGCATGACATGTTATTTATTACAAGAAGCAGAAGAAAAATTGTTGTGATAATAGTTTATAGCATAGTCTAAAAGGAGAGCTCCTGAATTATCATTTTGACTACTATTTCCAATGATAAACATGTGAATATGAACCTTCTATAATACTGAGAATGCTCACATTCTATTTATTCAGAAAATGTTATATTTTCTAAGATAAACATCTTGAAAATATATAGAATTTAGCCATTTGTTTACCTCATGTTCTTGCTATTTTGCATTTGTTTTCCCTGGAGCAAACTGTTAAGTTTCTATTGAAAGTGTTTTCCAAATATGATATTTTATATAATTTTGATTTTATATAATATTGAAGATAAATATTGAAAATTGAATTGGTTTGGGAAAATACTCTTTTTCACTTAATACTCAACACTTTTACAAATATCTACATTTTTCAATTTAAAAATGTTATTTTTAAAAGAAGTAGTACAAAGGTAAATTTTAAATATTTAATGTCATTAGATGAACTAAAAAATTTCAAGCATGGAATTACAGTTAAAGGAAAAGGAAATTGAACATCCGAGTATGATATATGCATTCTGAAATTTCTTTCAGCTATTTTTGGGGAAATACTTTTATCTTAATAGGCTGGTAATATATAATTTGACTCTAAACATTTATAAATTGGATTTAGGAAGTATTCAAAGCATGGAAAATTCATAATTTCTTATGCAATTCAAATTCAAAATTGAAACCATTTTTAATTGAGTGAAACATTTTTTTCATTTTCAATTTTTTTATGATTTTCAGGCTGGTAACTTGTTTTCTATTGGTTTTTAAAGATGCATCTATTGATAATTGATTTTAAACTTTTCCTTGTATCATTAATTTGTTCTATAGAAATTAGTAATACTAAAGCATCACATTTTAATATTTTTAAAGTTTTCCTTTGTTTATCAAAATTTTTCCAGCTTCATTTAAGTTAAAACATAACAATGTTGTAATGTACTTGGTGGCTACTTTGGGATGGCTAGCTAAAATTCAATGGATAAAGACAATTAGTTCTCAAAAATAGTCCCAGATATGTCATACATATTAAAAAGATAAACATGAAATCTTGATGTAGAATTTGCCATAAATTTCAAATTCTATATGTAAAATCAGTCCTTTTCAATCCAGTTATTATCATCAATTACATATAAACATAAATGACTATCCTCTATTTATTTTTACAGTTTAATATTATCCAGAAATTATTTCTTTCAAGAAAATACAATGAAGAAAGTAATGTGGAAAGATCATAGTAGTTTAATACCTTACATGGCTTTTCAAATGAAAGACTCTTGATTGCATAATTAATTTTAAACTTATCAAAATAAAAACACAATTAAGACAGATCAAGTAATAAACTTAGTACACAGGAGC